CGGGCGCTGGCCGCCTCGCCCTGCCTCTGGGCGGCGCTCCACCTCCGACGCCTCGACCCGGCCGCCGCGGCCACCCTCGCCCCGCGCTGCGCGCCCCACCTGCGCAGCCTCCGCCTCGCCGGCCGCGCCGCCGCCGAGGCCGCCCCCTTCCTCCGCGCCGCGGGGCTCCGCTCGCTCCGCCTCTCCGGCTGCCGCGACCTCACCGACGCCGCGCTCGCCGTCCTCGCCGCGCGCCACGGGGGCCTCGCCGAGCTCCACATCGGCCCCGACCCGCTCGACCGCATCTCCAGCGACGCCCTCCGCAGCGTCGCCCTCTGCTGCCCGCGCCTCCGCTGCCTCCGCCTCTCCGGCCTCCGCGAGGTCGCCGCCGACGCGCTCGCCGACCTCGCGCGCCACTGCCCGCTCCTCCACGATCTCGCCTTCATCGACTGCCTCGCCCTCGACGAGCCCGCCCTCGCCGGCCTCACCTCCCTCCGCTTCCTCTCCGTCGCCGGCTGCCAGAACATCAAGTGGGCCACCGCCTCCGCATCCTGGGCGCAGCTCCCCTCCCTCTCCGGCCTAGATGTATCCCGCACCGACGTCTCCCCCGGCGCCGTCTCCCGCCTCATCTCACACTCCACCACCCTCAGGCTCATATGCGCCCTTAACTGTGCCTCCCTCGAGGAGGAAGAGGCGCACAGCCCGGCCGCCTTCGCCAACTCCAGGGGCAAGCTCGTGCTCACCATCAACCGCACAATCTCTAAATTCATCGCCGCAGACGCCGCCCCGCTGTGTCCAGACACGGCTGTCAAGGACACTGTGGTGTTCGATGAGTGTCGCTCTTCGAGTGGCAAGCGCAATGAGGTGTCTCACCTCATTACATGGCTCGAATGGATCCTGTCGCAGTCCCTCCTGCGAATTCCAGAGAGCAACCCACATGGCATGAACCAGTTTTGGCTGGACCAGGGCGCGGCGCTGCTGCTAACCCTGCTCAAGAGCTCCCAGGACGATGTGCAGGAGCGGGCGGCCACCACGCTTGCAACATTCGCGGTTATCGATGATGAGAACACCAATGTGGACCCTGCAAGGTCTGAGGCTGTGATGCTCGAAGGGGGCATACCGATGCTGTTGGATCTCGCAAGGTGCTCCAGGGAGAGTCTGCAGTCTGAAGCTGCAAAGGTTTTTCACTCCTGCAATCATATGCAAGCTATGGTTGTATCAATATTCAAGCTATAGTAGTGACAATAGTTTCTTATGCATCTTGATGTCATTGTGTAGGCAATCGCCAACTTATCCGTGAATCCAAAGGTTGCGAAAGCAGTTGCAGATCAGGGAGGTATTGCCATACTCACTAACATGGCAAAGTCGGTAAACCGTCTGGTTGCTGAAGAGGCTGCTGGGGGGCTGTGGAATCTGTCAGTGGGAGAAGAACACAAGGTTGTGAGTGCTCGGTGCTGTTTCTAACTGCTTTACGCTCCACATTTCTTGTCCGGTATGATGATTAATTTTAATTCCTTATTATCAGGTGGCTATCGCAGCGGCTGGTGGGGTAAAAGCTTTGGTTGATCTTATATTTCGATGGCCTGCAGGAACTGGAGTGCTTGTAAGGGCTATCTTGAAAAATTTCACCTTACATGTTGTGCTGATTCAGTTTGTAATGGATGTGCTGTTTTTGTTGTTGCTGTTGTTATCAGGAACGTGCTGCTGGTGCACTTGCAAATCTTGCTGCTGATGACAAATGTAGCTTGGAGGTTGCAACGGCTGGTGGCATCCATGCCTTGGTTACGCTTGCTCGCTCCTGCAAAGTTGAAGGGGTCTTAGAGCAGGTGACACACACCTTGCTTTTAACGAATAACACATACCTTGCTTTTATTAATGCTTCTACATCTTCCATTTTTGTCAAATATGTATAGCTTAAATCTACCCTAACCCCCTTGTATTCAGCTGAATAAGCTAAACTGTGACAGAGGTGGTGCTTGGCCGGTTAGACACACTTGAATCTGCACCTTTTAAAAAAAATTATGTCTTGTCTGCACTGTCCAGAGCTGCAAGGAATGAGTGCATGCTTGCACATTTCCTCTACAATTGGTGTTTGCAAAAATAAGGATAAAAACACATTGCAAACCTGTTTTGTCCTTCGACTAAATTTGGGCTGTGTGGATAATCATTATTGGATTTATGTTTGCTGAGTCCAGAGGAGCTGTTCCCACTGCATGTTGTGCACAGATTTCTTGTGCTGGCAGAGTTGAATCTTCTAATGAGCTCTCAAATTCCTAATGTTTCTTCTTCTTCTTCTTGTTTTAGAACTTATCGATTATCACTTAAATATGCGTTCTGATTTAGTTTGATGTTGGGTTGTCTTGTAAATAATCCAGTATCATTTTGCATGCAGGCTGCACGAGCTTTAGCTAATCTAGCTGCACATGGAGACAACAACAACAATAATGCTGCTGTTGGCCAGGAACCAGGTGCTCTTGAAGCTTTGGTGCAACTAACACATTCTCCCAGTGAAGGCGTCAGGTATAATTCTGCTTTAGTCAAGCGACATTGACCTGCCAAGCTTTTGAACTATAAGTCGATCACATATTTCTCCTTGAATCTTGTGACATATCTCAAATTACAATCGGGCTATTTTTCATGCATCAATTAGACAAGAAGCTGCTGGCGCTTTGTGGAACTTGTCATTTGATGATAGAAATCGGGAATCCATAGCTTCTGCTGGTGGTGTTCAAGCTCTGGTATGGCTTTATATTCTCTGCATCTATTGTGAGTTTGTTATTCTTTTACCTATGCATATACGTGACGCCTAACATATAGAGGGAGCTGAGTTAAAGGAAATCTAGATTTAATTTCACCTGAGCAAATTTTTGAAGAATCATGACCGTGTTTTAAGAAAAAAAAAACCATATTGCCATTTTGATTTTTTGAATTAGGAACATATTCAAGAGAAGCATGAATCACTTTTTTTTTCTTCTATCTCTCCTTGCTTTTGTACTGACAGCAAACTCACCTGGCCCATCACCTTTTATATTCTTTTTAATAGGAAACATTTCTTTCCTTAACACAAATGACTCAATTGTTTAGGTCTCACTCTGTCAAGAATGTTTAAATGCTTCGGACGGTCTTCAGGAGAGAGCTGCGGGTGCTCTCTGGGGACTATCTGTTTCAGAAGCTAACAGGTAACTGAATAACTGAATTGATGGCATTATTGTGCATTTGGATTATTATAATTTTCTTTTGTTATACTCTGTTTTGGCTTGGACCTCTCGAGTCCAAATCTTGCAATGCAATTGTATGAGGGTGATTTTTCAGGATTTAGTTCATATTTTTGGAAAGTATTTGTACAAAAAATACCATTAAGGATATCAGTATGATCTGATGGACAAATATTGGTTTTATTATGAATAACAACAAGTAGTGGGTGTAAATATATGCGCACCAATGTGTTCTTGCCATGAAATGACGCATAGCAGAGTGAAGGTAAGCATATATATATGCGCCCACTAGGATGACATAGATCATTTTGTGAAAATAAGCATTAGAACATATGCATCTGTTACACTATGTGCATATATTTTGCTATGTCTTAATTTTGGTAAATGGAGTAAGATGCTATACTATCATGGTGGGTAGAGATGACAGTCATGTAATACCTTACTGTTTCTGTTTTAAGAATAAATTTGCAGAGACTTTAGTGAATAATTGTTCTCAGCATAAGCTTCATTATTTGCTTTGAACTCTTCCATCTTTTGTTTGATGTCTTGGATTGGAAGTGCTTTACACGATACAGTTGCCGGTATTTCCTTTATCCCGCTGCTAACTTTTCTGTTGCTCTTTCAGCATTGCTATTGGAAGGGAAGGTGGTGTTCCACCTCTAATCGCGTTGGCACAGTCGGAAGTTGAAGTAAGTGCTGCTTATCTTCAATGCACCCAGTATGTTTGGTTTATAAAGAGCTAAAGACCATATAAACACTGACATGCCTTAAACAAAATCGCATGTTCTTTTATTTGCTGTTTGCGTTAATGCACCAGATGTATCATCTATCATGCACCAATGCAGTGTACTGCATGCTTAGTTTCTTCTTCTGTCAATAGGTCTATGTTGAGCTTCTGAGAGCAGTCTTATGATCTTGCACTTCATGTCTTCATCCTTGTCCAGTTATGTTTGAAGCTTGTGACCCTGTTTGATCTAATTTTCTTCATCTGAACTTTATGTAGCTGATTTCTTGATCAATATTGTAAGTAAAGTCAAGATTAAGTTCTTGCCACCATAACACTCTTTTCTTGAATCTCGATGATGCCCTTAGTTCATTGTTAAGATTGACTAATCTCTGCTGCTTATGTGATTCTAAAGGTACTTTACCATATATGATTTGCATCCTTATCTAGTACCTCCTTTCTAAGCTAAGCATGCAAACAAGAAAAGCTTCATTTCTCTCAAGGTATGTTACTTGCTATTTCTACAGGATGTTCATGAGACTGCAGCTGGTGCACTATGGAATCTTGCTTTCTATTCTTGTAATTCTCTCCGCATAGTTGAAGAAGGTGGTGTACCTGTCCTAGTGCACTTGTGCTCATCATCACACTCAAAAATGGCTCGGTTCATGGCTGCACTAACCCTTGCTTATATGTTTGATGGAAGGTACGCTGTATTTGTGTCATTGTTTCTCCCTCATGTTGCTTAAGCTGTGCAAATCATGACAAAACATACCATAATTCAGTTGTTTTCACCATATGTTAATTTACTTGTTGAAGTATATGCAAATTTTCTTCACAAAGCTTCCTTGTATTGTATGGAATGCACCGCTTGTTTAATATCTGAAAAGCAGATAACCTTAGATGCTACATGCCAGTATAAAGGCCAGTGCCATTCACAAAGATCTCTAAGTCAGAGAACACCACCCAATGTGTCATTGACATGTCACTCTTCCTCACACACTAGATGATATCTTCCAAATTATGCCTCTTTGCAGTATGGTCTCCATATCTGCTTGTAGATATTTTGCTAGAATTTCTGTAGTATGGCTGCTGAAATAGTATATTCTTTATCTCAACAAAGATTTTTGAGATATTGCAGTAAGAAGGAAAATAGACGCATGTACTTTATATATGGTGTTGTATGTGGTCTAATCTTGAATTGTTGACTGGCAGAATGGATGAGATAGCATTGGTTGGGACATCCTCACAGGGTAGTTCCAAAATTGTAAAATTTGAGGGAGCAAGAAGGTTGGCATTTAAGCATATAGAAGCCTTTGTGTTGACCTTTTCAGATCCACAAATGTTTTCTACGGCTGCTTCATCCTCAGGCGCAGCAGCCTTATCTCAGGTTGCTGACGCACTTTTTATACAAGAAGCTGGACATCTTAGATGCAGGTTTGATTTTGCATTCCATTGAATAGTATCAGCTAGCCTTTGATTTTTCAACTCAAATATTAAATGAGGGCAGTTTTGTCAAGACATCTTCCTTTGATATAAACTCTCTGATTCATTAGTTCAATCTGAGTTCTGGTTTACTATCCATGTTTAGCACTGCAAAAGGATCAGTGGGATGATTTGTTTATTTAAAGACCATGTCAAAGTTAGTTCTCACATTCTTAGAGCTCATCCATAATAGGCGGATGAATCCATTGAGATTTGTAAAGTTTGAAACAGTAACTTTAAATGTGTTTGGCTCAAAATAAGCGCATTTATTTATGTAGTTGAGGGCGAAACAAGTTTGTTACAATTTTTGTTTGGGATTCTCATTCCTCAAATATCTTCAGAAACTTGCTTGCTGCTTGTGGTTGTCGGTGATTGCAGTCAGGAGTTGAGGTCTGCTATGACCGGCAATGCTAGTATTAGGTTTTCTTACACATGGTCTGGAGAAACGAAAGCAGGAAAGAGGATGGGTACCGATGGGCTGGCTAGGTTTAGGAATGCGCCGAGTAGTGAAAGATCCTAGTTATGTTTCCAAACGCTGTGTCGGTGCAGCACATATCTGCTTAATGTGGACTATTTGTTCAAAGTGTTATCATGTGATAATGCGTTGGGCCATGCTTAATGTGGACTACTGTTGGACGAGTTATTATGTGATAATGTGTTGGGCTGTTGTGATTTCTTTATTTTCTTATCTTGCATACTATTTCTGAGCTTGTGGCATGATGTAGGTATTAATTTTGAGTAAAAAAGACAGGATACTAATTTAATTTTAACTTCCTTCAGCCGAGCTGAGATTGCTAGATTCGTTGACACGCTACGGAATCCTTCATCAGTTCTTCGTGCTTGTGCAGCTTTTGCTCTGCTTCAGGTTGGCTTCGTTTTATCCCGCTCAACTGCTGGTATGACTTGAGTCCCGTAATTGTCTTGCTGTAGTAACTGGGCTTCCTCTTGCATTAGGAGCATGCCTAACAAGTAACTACTGATTCAACGACTTTGTCAAGTTTCCAGCATTCGGTGGTTCTTATTGTAGCAATGCCCCAATCAGCATTCATCAACTAAAGCACATAATATGTACATATCATAACGTTTTCTCGTATATTTCAGATTTATGGTGGGGATGCATGCATATATGTTTAGGCATGCCTCTGTTTCTAGCTCTTGGCATAGCGCCATTGTTGTGCTCCTTGATATTTGACATGATTTGAAGCAAACGATCAATGTACCCTTTAGTTGCTTCATTTTGTGATACGCCTCTTCCGACCCTGCTGTGATACTTCCTGCATCCCCCTGGCTAACGTCTCTATCGACACGTGCAGTTCACTATGCCGGCGGGTCGACATGCTGTGCACCACGCGGCCCTGCTTCAGAAAGCCGGGGCGTCCCGGGTCTTACGGTGGGCAGCAGCCGCGGCAACAGCTCCCATCGAAGCGAAGATCTTTGCACGGATCGTCCTTCGCAACTTGGAGCTCCACCAAGCAGGGCCTTCCACATAGAAGCAAAGGATGATGAGCGAACAGCACTCCTACTTTTCACTGGTGGAGAAGAGCAGCTGACCTATTTATTCCCCCATATCCATGGCTTCGGCATGAACCAGACGACATGACGGCTATCGTCGTCGAATTTTGGCATTTCCTCCTAGAGAACTTGGTTGGCATCTTGTTGCTTCCGCTGAGTGTGCTTTGCGATTTTGTGTGTAAGAGCAAGTAAAGTAAAACTGCCTAGTGTGTAAGATAATCTTATGGATCAGTGCACTAACTAATTTATGAGGCGTTTGCGGTATATTTGGACTTCAGCTGCAGCCAACTCTAAATTATTTCAAGGTTTAGCTCTGTCCTAAGTCAAACTAATCTACACCAGACATATATATATATATATATATATATATATATATATATATATATATATATATTTTATGATTAATTGAATGAAACACATTTGTTGGTGTAGATGTTGATATATTTTTCTATTGACTTGGCCAGACCTAATGTTGATATATTTTTCTATTGACTCGGTCAGGCTAAGAAAATAATTTTTTAGAATAAAGCTATCAACAGGAGTTTTGGAGGCCTAGCGTCACGGAGGATGAAAAATTTGAAAAATAAAAAAAAATTCAAACTTTTCTACATGTATATAAGGTTGTAATGTGTCTCTAGGTATAGGTGTTTTTTTTGTTGGAAAGTAAAAATATGAATTTGAATTTTTGAAATTCGGCCTCCATCTAGCATTTTTCTATAAAGAGAAGCATGCCGCATTTTGCAAATCATAAAACCACCGCGCTGTCGAATACTAGGCATGTACGTAGAAGATTGCAAATCATGAGCTCCAAAATACAAGCAACAAAGTGTTGCATATAAAACCAACATGAGCAAACCATGTGAATGAAGCTAATTAAGGACCTGACATGGAACCTGTGGTTCTTGTTTTTACAGCTGCTGCAGTCTTCTACAAAGCGGCGCTTCAAGCAAAAAAGCTTGAACAAAGAATGACATGTACACCACTGACCACTCCAACACTATATATACCCCTGACAACAAGATGGTGGATCATCATCATCATGTCGAGGACTGAAGGAGGACGCCGACATCGTCCCCCATCAGCCCGAGCGCTTCCCCGACGGCGTGCCAGGTGGCGGCGAGTGAAGCAGAAACAGATGGTTTGTCCTTCAAGTAAGGCACAATGTGTTTCCTCATGTCACTGTTGGAGATGCCCAGGTGACCTCCTGGCACGGAGACGAACTTGACTCGCCCGGCCTTGTCCAGGGCCTTCAGACCAATCCAGTCTTCCTGATACAGCTTTGTCTGCAGATCAAATCTTGCCAGGGTCAGCGAGCAGAAATGGCCTCGAAACTTTGTCGACTAGTTGAACATGAAGAACAGAAGTTCTATTATACCTGCTGAGGAGGTAGGACTGGCTCAAAGGCTCCATCAGGATAATACCCAAACCACGAAGTTTCCCGGGGTATGACGACGACATCATTCTCAAACTGCACATCATATTAGGGGAAAATAAGTAGTTAAGGGCATCATAGGCGAAGTACATTCTGATATTTCTTTCCAACTTATACAGTGCACCATATATGCTACCATGTAATCTTCAAACGTGGATCAAAATGCGATTTTAGGCTTTTGTCAACCTTCTTACCATGATCAATACTAAATTCTCTAAGCTGCTGAACCGTTCCTTGTAGGTAGCATTTCTTTCACCGGGTATCTCATTGTTAAGTTTGGGAAGAAACCTGCATCCCTTCAGATAATCATCCATATCCTGAAAAGACGGTTCACATTTTCAGTGGCTAAGAATATACTATTGAATACTGCTCTGGTTTAGTTCCATAACCTATGGTTAAAGGCCAATGAATGGTTTCTACGATATTGCATTCTGTGGAGAAGTAAAAGTAAAAGTTGAAAGCTACACACACATTACGATTACCTACTTAAAATTCTTCAGATTGCAAGTTAGCAACACACACAATAGAACATGAAACTAATATGTTTATAACATGGTTACCAAACCTCTTGTTAATAACTTCTGAAGGAAAAATATAAAATTAATTATTACTCAGATATACATGAGCCTCATCAATGCTCAATAGCAGTTAACTAATCAGCACAGCAAGCAATTTGAAAGTTCAAAAAAGTGCAGGTTCGGTTATCAAATGGTACTGACTACAATAACATAAAGGTGAATTTCTGTTTATCGGGACGATGACCTCACGAAGTGCAATATAATACTCACCGTTGGGATTTTGATGTAGCCACTTGGTGCAAGATGTGCCTGTAATTCACCACGGGTCAAGTTATTCCATTGAAAATCTCTAGTTTATTAATACTGCAGACTAGAGTTTGGGACATGACTAAGCGTAGACACTAATACCTGTACGTAGTCCGAGTAGATCTCCAATTTAATCAGGGCATCAGCAATAACACAGAAAATACCAGACTGCAGAAAACAGAGATACAATGTTAGGAGGTAGCTACAGTTATCAGACTGTAGAAGGGGGATACGGGAAATTAAACATCAGGGCTTCATGAACACATTTTAATACATTAAATAACTACAACACTGATAGTTGCATTCAGGGATTTCTCCAAACATCTTGCAAGTGCTCAGGGCTCAGGCTAGCACGAGCTGATATAGGATGTTTAAACATTGAATGGCATTAGCATATACCTGTACAATATATTTCTTTAATATATAATTGTCATCAGAAATCCATGAAAGAGCAGAAAGCTATTTATTCTTAGATAATTTGCCAGTCTGTTGTTGAGTTGTCGGTTGAAAACTTGGCATAACAAACTGGATATTAGTTGGAGATAGTTAGATAAACTTACACCACAAAGCGGCACGGAAGCGGTGCCAGCATGAGGCCCCGCGAGTGAGATGAAATTCTTGACCTGTTAGAAGAAGTATCAGAGTACATAACTTACTGCACAAAAACTGAATAGCAATATATCTCTGCGAAGCGTAAGGCCTACTCATCATTGAAAGTTTCAAAAGTATGACCTTGTATGAACATTTTTGGGGAAAAAACCCGGCACTAGTTGGCATGCCTAGACATGAGGAGAGAGGCCCAACACATTCACAATAATTCAGATTTCTCATTCAGTTGCATACAATAGGTGGTGGGACTGGGAGGTGAAACGAATAAGTCTGAAAGCCGTTTATTGTATCACTTGTAGAACAATTTTAACAGCAACTCACCGGTGGTCCATCATCACAATACTGGAGCACTGCACGGCCAATCAAGTTCCCCTGTGCAAGGACATAACGAGGAGGCAAGATTTTAGTAGAAGAGTGACACAAACTAGAGCAGAATCAGCACAATAATCATCATTTAGCTGAAAAACTACTGATTCTTGAACAAAATGACAGAAGGGTATGATATACCTGAGACAGGCCAACGATGTTATAGCCGCCGCTCAGCTCTTTCATCTCCTTCACCTGCAAAAACAAATTACCAGGCAGGCAGGCAGGCAGGGATGATGAATATCTCTATCTACCCAGCATGCAGCAGAGGAAAGAACATCATCAGGGCCCGAAGCGCCGAATCGATCACCTGACCTTGTTGCAAATGGCATCAGCCTGTTGAAAAAATGACATGTATAGGGAAAACAGTATGGTTAGTGGATTTTACAACAGTTAGAGCAAACAAAGATTCTGATTATTTTTGTACAGATGGACAAATATGACAAAAAAACTGTGCTGGTTGAAGTGGAAGCAGACCTGTTGGTGGAGAGGCATGAGCCAGGAGTCCCATGTCCCGCTTCCGATTTCTCTGAACACAAATGAGCACGAACTAGAGAGTCAAGCTGCAGCTATGGAGACGAGGATGAGAGGAGGGGGGGAGAAGATGGGGTCGGTCGTACAGGCAGTGGCCGTCGGCGGCGGACCAGTCGGCGAGGAGGCGGGTGAACTCGGCGACGCCGCGGTTGGCGCACTGGTCCCCAATCCCTGCAGCCCGAATCAACCAACCCAAACCTGTCAGTCAACCAATCAATCGAGACATGGGTGGGAGGAGAGTGGGTGAGGGTGGACCGACCGTGCAGGACGACGAAGGGCACCGCCTCCGCCGTGAGGAGGAGGACGGAGAGTACGGCGACGGCGACGGAGAGGGGAAGCGGAGGTCTCGGCGGCATGGGCACCGACGGTGGCTTGGCGTCGGAGGGACCCAGACGGGACGAGACAACGTCGCTCACTGCTGAGATTGGCCGTGCGTGTCGACGCGACGGTGTTCCAAACGAAGAAGTTTGCTAGTACTATGAAATTTTATTTTATTTTATAATCATCACAAGGTAGCATCGTACACGCGTCTAATTCTTAGTTTTTCTTTTCTTTCTGAAACACTTTTTTAACTACCGCTCGTGCACAAAACGTCTGCCATAGGCCTGATCAACATGTGGTTGGATGATTAGGGGGACAATGATATCCCCATCCCACCAGGGTGGCGCTCGCATTTATTTATGGCGAGCACGGGCCCAAATTTAGGCCGGTCGCCTACCCAGCGTCTGATAGAGATGCACAGAACCGTTTGATCCACAACCCCCTTCGTCCCCAACCTCTCTCCCAGTGAAAAAAGCTGCGCCCTGTGCCCGAGCTCCGTATGGTGAGCTCGCGCATCTCCATCCCCCGTCTAGATTGTGTCGTCCCTCCAGCCGTGCCCGAGGTCGCCGTCGCCCCCCCCGGCATCTCTCCTCCTCTTGTCGTCGGTTGACTCGCCGCTCGTACCAGTGTCCGGTTGTAGCAGAAAAGACAGAGCACGACATCCAGGTTTGAAGCAAAAACACATGGTTCCAACAAATAATTGATATGGTTCCAGCAAAAATGATATTATTTCAATCAAACCGTTCATATCGTTCCAGCAAAAATATAACATGGTTCCAACAAAATTTTGATATGGTTCCAGCAAAAAATTATCTTGTTTCTAGCAAAACAATGATATGATTCTAGCAAAAACACAACATGGTTCCAACAAAAAATTGATACGGTTCCAGCAAAAAATCAATGCAGCAAAAATAATCATGGCGCCATCGTTGTAGCCGCCCCATCATCATCCTCGCCGATTCCAGCAAGCCAAAATGGTGGTTCCAGCAAAAAAATTGTGCAGCAAAATCCATGGCGGCGGCCTCCCAACACTATCTCCCCCCTGTTGCAACAAATCGAAAACTGATTCCCGATGAATCAAAAGTGACTCCGGATTTTTTTTCAAAAAATACAACAACTTACCACAGCCATTGCCGTTGTCGCCCACCACCATCCTCACCGGTTGAA